GGAAAAACATAAATATATGCTCAACAATTTAGAATTATATAAATTCTGATGAACTTTTTATGTCAACATTAATTATGATCTGTAGTGTGTCATTTTAAATAGAATTTCCAAGATCCTGTTAACTTTAACAGTTGGAAATAATATTAAATCAGTTTAATTAATTGATTAATTGATATCAGTTACATAGATAACTTCTAAGTAACATAGAATACTGAAACATAGGTCATGAAGATACATATCTATCCATAGAGATATATGTCTTATATATACACACTATATATATGCATATATATACATATATTATATAAACATGTAGGGGAAGAGGGAGAATCCCCCTCTGCCCTTTCCCTTAAGGTTCTTATGGCTGGCCAAATAATTAACAAGACAGGTTAGCAGGAGAAAATAATACCAAGTTTAATAACATGTATACATGGGAGAAACCAGGGACACTGCGTTTCTCAACACAATAGCAGAAATTCTCATCTAAAATACCATCTTCAGCTAAAGACAAAGGAGGATGTTGGGGGTGGGGGGAATCAGTTACAGGAGATTACCACTAAAGCCCTATAAACAAGGGTAAGGTTATTATGCAGATTTAAGGCCTCACTTTCCACATTGATAAGTTTCTAGAAATGAGGTCATCCCCCCTCTTCCCAATACAGAGAGGGAGATACCTTTACAAATGGAGATTTCCCTTATAAATGTAAATGTCTGTCTGACAACTCCTTGCAGGGCCATACAAAGAATATGGCCAGAGACAGAACTTCTGATAAGAGGGGCTTGTTGGTGCCTTTTCTATTGTAACATCTATTCTACATTATATTACAGCCATCAGATAGAAGATCTGTTCCAGGAAGGAGTTACTATGTCAAATTCTTTAGGCAGTTAGTGGGGGAGGTCAAATGTCCGTCAGAGAAAACAATCAAGGTAAAGAGGTATATTTCATGGTGGCCAAATCTTGATCTCCCACAAACACAAACATATATACACACTAAAATATATCTTAGTATATATATGTATATATATGTGCACAGTGTGTACTTTATATATAAAAGATTGACTGATTTGACTATCTAAAGCTCAAAATTTTCTGTAAAGCAAAAGATATCATAAACCAAGCCAAAAGAAAAATGATGGTCTGGGAGAAAATATTACATTCTAATAGAAAAGGTATATTGGTAATATAGCTGACAAAATAGAGATAATATCCCTACTATACAAAGAAATCCTACAAATTGATTTTTAGAAAAGTCAAGGAACCGAATTTTTTAAAATGAGCAAATTATATGAAGAGATCATAAACAGAAGAGGAAATGCAAAGGCTAACAAATATATACAAAACACACCCAACCTCATTAGTAGTCAGAAAGTGAAAATCGAAACCATGAGATCCTGTTTTTTCACTCATCAGACTAGCAAAATGTAAAGACTGAGGATAAATGCTGATGACTATTGAGATACAGGTATGTACAAACATTGCTGATTGAGTTTATACAACCTTTGGAGGAAGTAATCTTTGTAAAATAATCTGTTGGGATCAATTATAGTTAAAAATACCCATAACCTTAAACACAGGGATCTCATTTTGAATTTCGTTATATTTCCAAATGAATAATTATCATGAGCTACTTTTCATACACGTGGACATTTATTGTCTATCTAAACAGTATTATTTTCATTGGCATTTGTGATTTTTTGAAAAGTAGTTGATAAATCCTAAAGCAAAAATGATTTCTGTAAGCCTGAATAACAGTGATCCAACACTGGGCGGGGAGGCAGCAGGAGTTTGTATTGTGGGGAGAGACTCGGTGGGAAGGAAGGACTATATACCAAGTATTTTTCTGAAACCAAGATAGATTGGGATAAGAATAGTCTAAAGGCAATTGTCAGTGACTGTTTTGAAAGCTGAATAATGGCTATTAAATCAAATCCTCTGTACTGAATTCCTAAAAACAGTATTTTGTGAAAGCCTATAAAGAATATTAGAACAATATCTTGTCTTAGAGAGAAAAAGATTGGGAAATCCATCATACCAGCTCTTCCCTGTCAAAAACAGATACCATCTAGAATAAAGGCAATCCTAGGGCTCAGAGATAGTGCTAGTAATGTTCCTGAATCAAACTGTTAAGATAATCCATCATTATTACTGGAATCACACCAGTTCCACAAAGTTTATTCTAGCAACACTGTCCTTTGAGGCATTTTTATCATTCCCTGAGGTTTCAGACTGATAAGCTGGCAAGAGTTCAATTTTAACATTCACTACACAATTGTGTGATGGAAAAACATTGAGTTTCTGGTTGACTTGAAAAGATAGTAGTTATTCATTTGTGTGCATATTTGTTTAAGCAAATTTAATTGAGAGCAAAATATCTAGTCAAATGATGAGTGACCTAACTGAGCCATGACCCCTGGGAAAGTAGAGCTTTAGAAAAATTATTATTATTCTATTTCTCAGGGCTGGTGAAATCTATATAACCTATATATAAAAGGCATGAAAGAGTTAAATGTCAACAGACTGCTCTCCAACCTTCCCCCCATGTACACACACACACACACACAAATGGCTGTTTTATAATGAGGAGACCAGAGTTTTTGGCTACAACACCAGAGCATTATTTGATGAGGGGACCTAGTGAACAACCAGAGAAAAAGATCTCCTTCAGGTGAAGGCGAGTTTTATGATCACCAGCTCGGAGACATCTTTCCCATCTAAAACCAGGACATCCATGAACCTCCTCCCTCTGAAGTAAGGGAGGAAATTCAGAGGTGCAACCACACAGAGATTTTGAGACTTGTGAGCCCCTCTGCAAAGGCATTAGCAGAAAGCCTACACATCAAAAGAAGACAAATCTACGGAGTTTCTTGCTATTGCATATGTTGCGTAACAGAAATTTATAAAGTCTATGAGGAAAAACTTTTTAAAGTTTATAAATCCTGAGCATTCTGTGTAGAAACTAAGAATGCTCCTGAATGAAAATACCAGCTCTGATGAAAGCAGTATATTCACTTGTGACCATGTGTGTGTGTTCCAGAAAGGAGCACCAGTGCCTTCTTTACAGATCATTCATTTCAGTTATTCCTTCTGTGGTTCCAAACCAGGATGAAATTGCCACTCCCTTCCCCAAGGCTGAGTGGGAGACTAGTCTTTCATCTAAGAACAATCAAGCACTTACAGCAATTTAAAGGCTTCAACCAGGATCTGTATCGCCAAGGGAGCAGCCAGAGGAGGGGGAAGACCCAGCAGTGGCTCAGTTCTGAGTCTTGGCAGGTCTAAGCAGGCCTGATTTGAAAACATGACATTCCGGAGAAAGTCTAACTTCTGGTGGCTATCTCTGGACATCCACTCAATCTCTACTGTTTACTTTCTCTGCCATTGGGAGTATTTTGGTGGAAAACCTTGTAAAACACTGCAACAGATAAATCTTACTAATTAGAATAGGAACTAATTTGGATGGGTTTTCAGATTTATTTGCAAGTAGATCGTATTCACAAGTAGATTGATCAAGAGAAAAATATTATTCTACAGTCACACTTTCATCCCCAGTCAGACAACTCTCAAAAGCATGTAGTTAATTAAAAGGAAGGCACAGTGGGGACTGCGGTCAACTTGGGGAAAACTGACTATAACTCAAATTACAACTCTTTTCAGGAAGGCCATTGTAGGGACATCTATAGTATTTAACGTGCCAGTTCACATTTTCCGTTCTGGCTTCCATTTGGTCTTGGTAAGACTGTCAAACAAGTCCTACTGTCCCTTAGCCAAGAGTGAATGTGTGAGGCCCATTAGGCTCTCCCTCTGAGGATATGAATCTTAAGAGAGAAGCTAACACAGATAATGGTGGGAGTGCTTCATTTGGCAGAGAGGACCCTGGAGAAGCTGAGGGTCCCTCCATTCCCTCTTTCTGCCTAGGCCCCTGGAGCGGTTCTGATCCCTGTCCTTTCCAGGTTCTTCACCTTCTCCTTTGATTCTGTGAGCTATTCCCAATCGTTCCAAAAAATTCTTTGTTGCTTATATCAGAGTCAGTTTTTATTGCTTGCAGCCAAAAGCCAGTAGTGTAGGCCTATAGCACTATCTTCACATACAAAACTCATCACATTTTTGTGTGAGGAAGATTAGCCCTGAGCTAACATCCATGCCAATCTTCCTCTTTTTGCTGAGGAAGACTGCCCCTGAGCTAACATTCGTGTAGATCTTCCTCCACTTTATATGGGACACCGCCACAGCATGGCCTGACAAGTGGTGCACCCGTGGGCAGCCAGGATCCGAACCTGGGCCGCCAGCAGCAGAGCGCACGCACTTAATCGCTACGCCACGGGGCCAGCCCCCAAAACTCATCACTTTTTATTTGATAAAATGAAATACTCTATCTGCAGGAAGTTAGTCAGATGGCAATTCTATTTGGCATTATCATTTGTCTAGGTTTCAGTATAAAACACAAAAAATTCACTTTTAAAATGGAAGGAATCTTACATCCTATTATTGTTCCTTTCCACTTTCCTCCCCCCACCTCAACTTATCTTAACCCTCCTTTCATTCTTTAAAAAAAAAAAGGAAAGAAAAACTTACAAAAAAGAATCTTTCATATCTAAATGAATAATATATTTCTGCTTAAGAGATTGAATGTTAAAAATCTTTTTCGGGAGCACAGAGGATTTTTAGGGCAGTGAAACCACTTCTACAGTGGTCGATATATGTCATTATACATTTGTCCAAACCCCTAGAATGTACAACACCAAGAGTGAACCCTAATGTGAACTATGGACTTTAGGTGATTGTGATGTGTCAATATAGATTTATCTATTGTTACAAATGTACCACGCTGGTAGGGGATGTTGATAATGGCGGAGGCTGTGCATGAGTGCGGGTGGGGAGTATATGGGAAATCCCTGTACCTTCCTCTCAATTTTGCTGTGAACCTAAAACTGCTCTAAAAATGAAGTCTATTAGCAAAAAAAAAAAAAAAAAGAACTTTCTAAACTGCAAACAAAGCCCATACTTAGTCAATTTCGTAATCATCGTCATCATCATCCATGTTGATTCTGATGCTGGAGTGCTCTTCAGGTTTTGATTTCTTCTTGGTTTCTTTGTTTGTCTCGGTCAGATGTAAGTGATGCTCACATTGCCTCATGATCTTCTTGGAAGACATCCAGCTCTCCCCTTGTCGTTCAGCTGGTGCTGCACATTGTCCTCCCCTCACATCTGTGCCCTTGGCCTTCAGGACCTCCCTCGCTTTTAGGAGACTACAGGTGCAATTCCACGGATTTCCATCCAGATACAGGTGCCTGAGACGAGGCAGCCCCTCCAAGGCTTTGAGGTCTAAGGCAGAGATCTTGTTGTTCCTGAGGTTTAGAACCTGAAGCTGCTTTAGATCCTTGAGCTCCCTCTCAGCAATATCTTGGATGGCATTGCCTTTTAGGTCCAGCCTGGCTAAGGTCTCCGGGAGCCTGCAAAAGCATGGAAACAGGATGCGAGAGGAGGTCACGATCATCATTCCACAACTGCCATGGCAACTCAGACTGCACAACACCCACCTTTTCTGTACAGTTCTATCCCTTCTGAATCTAGTAATTTTAAGTAATTAAAAAGTAATTTTAAGCACAAATCTCAGTCTTACATATAAGTCTTTAACCCTTCCTCATAAGTCTCATTTTCTAATCTTCTGATTTTTCTGGTTCCTAGTCATAAAACTATTGTTTTCTTGTCAAACGGGATCACATAGACAAATTGATAAGAAGAACACTAAGTTCTCAATTTTTTAGTTGGCAAAGGCCATGAATCCATAATTTATAGAAGTAGAAATATGAATAAAGTGTTGTTCTCCATGAATATAAAAGGCAAAGGGAAAAATGATGCAATATGTATACATATTTTTGTGCTGTGAAAGATTTGTTCTGAGCTAACATCTGTTGCCAATCTTCCTCTCTCTCTTTTTTTCTCCCGAAGGCCCAGTACATTTAGTTGTGAGTCTTTCTAGTTCTTCTATGTGAGCCGCTGACATAGCATGGCTACTGACAGTGTTGTGGTTCCATGCCTGGGAACTGAACTTGGGCCACTGAAGCAGAGCAGACCAAACTGTAACCACTAGGCAACCAGGGCTGGCTCTGATGCAATATTTTTATGTATCAAATTAGAACATGGTTTTGGTTTTAAATTTAAAACTTATTGCTGCTGAGGGTGTAGTGAAATAAGAACTTCAACACTGTTGGTGGGAGTGTAAGTTGGTACCACTTTAGAAACAACTTGGTACCACGTGTCAGATTTAAATAATGTCATGGGGCCGGCCCTGTGGCTTAGCGGTTAAGTGCGCGAGCTCCGCTACTGGCGGCCGGGGTTCGGATCCCGGGCGCGCACTGACGCACCACTTCTCTGGCCATGCTGAGGCCGCGTCCCACATACAGCAACTAGAAGGATGTGCAACTGTGACATACAACTATCTACTGGGGCTTTGGGGGGAAAAGGGGAAAAAAAAAAAAGGAGGAGGATTGGCAATAGATGTTAGCTCAGAGCTGGTCTTCCTCAGCAAAAAGAGGAGGATTAGCACGGATATTAGCTCAGGGCTGACCTTCCTCACAAAAAAAAATTAAATAAATAAATAAATAATGTCATGGCTTTTGACCTAGGAGATATTGGGAGAAGCAAATAGAGATTTATTTACAAGCACATTTATCACATATTTGATCATATTTATAATAGCAAAAAAATGGTAAAAGACTAATGTCCACTAATACAGAAATTAAGAGATAATGGACTATTATGTGATCATAAAAATCATGTTTTAAAATACTAATTCTGTGAGAAAGCTTTTCTAACTATGACTTAAAAATCCAGATGCTATAAAAGATTGATAAATCAACTACATTAAAAATAATTGAAAAAAATAATTTAAAAAATTGTGTATGGCAAAAGACACATGCAAAGTCAAAAGACAAATGATAAACAGGGGTAAATGTCTGCACCTCATATCCCAGACAAAGAGCTCATCTCCTTAATATATAAAGGACCCTTAAAAGTTGAGAAGAAAAGGTTTTAAAATAAGACTGAAAAATGGACAAAAAGCATGAATGGAAGTCCACATAAACAACCATACTCAGAATAGAGAAATGAAAAATAAAACGACACAGAGATGCCATTTCTCACTGAACAGGTGAGAATGTCATTAGGAATCAAGATTTTCATTGTAAGAGAAAAAGATACAAATATAAAAGAAGAAAAAAACCCTCTCTAATGTTAAACATGAATTGGAAATGTCAATATGAATTCATAATTTAAAAAAATATATTTTCTGTATGCTGAAAGGACTTAAAAGCAATATTACACCCTAATTGCAATGCTACCTTGATAACAGAAGCACACCAAGCACACAGATCTTAGTTTCAGAATTCCAATCTCCAGTTAACAAAACCAAGCCTTCTTGGAAAAATGGCTGATTCCATACCTGGGGGGAAGTAAGCTAGAACTTCTGAGCCAGAATGCAATAAAATGTTCAAAGATTAATAGTATACCCATCAGGGTGGCACTATCAAAAAACCAGAAAATAACAAGTATTGGCAAGGATGTGAAGAAATTGGAACCTTTGTGTACTATTGGTGGGAATGTAAAAATGGTGCAGTCGATATGGAAGACATTATAGTGGTTCCTCAAAATATTATAAATAGAATTGCCATATAGGGGCCAGCCCTGTGGCGTAGCGGTTAAGTGTGCACGCTCTGCTGCTGGTGGCCCAGGTTTGGATCCCGGGCGTGCACCAATGCACCACTTTTCAGGCCATGCTGTGGCGGCGTCCTATATAAAGTGGAGGAAGATGGGCATGGATGTTAGCCCAGGGCCGGTCTTCCTCAGCAAAAAAAAAAAAGGAGAAGGATTGGCATGGATGTTAGCTCTGGGCTGATCTTCCTCACAAAAAAAAAAAGAATTACCATATAATCCAGCAATTCCACTTCTGGGTATATACTCAAAAGAATTGAAAGCAGGGTCTTGAAGAGATATTTATGCATCCATGTTATACATCCATATTGAATTCAAAATAGCTAAAACGTGGAAGCAACATGACTGTCCATTGACAGATGAATGGATAAGCAAAATGCAATATGTGCATCAATGGATTATTATTCAGCCTTAAAAAGGAAGGAAATTCTGACAAATGCTACCAAATGGATAAACCTTGAAGACATTATGCTAAGTGAAAAAAGTCTGTCACAAGAAGACAAGTACTGTATGATTCCACTTATATGAGATATCTAGAGTAGTCAAGTTCATAGAAATAGAAAGTCAGAAAACAGAATGGTGGTTGCCAGGGGCTGGAGGGAGGGGGAAATGGGGAGTTGTCATATAATGGGTGCAGAGTTTCAGTTTTGCAAAATGAGAAAGTTCTAGAGATCAGTTGCACAAGACTGTGAAGCTACTTAACACTACTGAACTGTACACTTAAAAATGGTTAAGACGGGGCAGGCCCCGTGGCTTAGCAGTTAAGTGCCCGCACTCCGCTACATGCACCCCCGGTTCAGATCCCGGGCACACACCAACGCACCGCTTCTCCGGCCATGCTGAGGCCATGTCCCACATACAGCAACTAGAAGGTTGTGCAACTATGACTTACAACTATCTACTGGGGCTTTGGGGAAAAAAAAAAAAGGAGGAGGATTGTCAATAGATGTTAGCTCAGAGCCGGTCTTCCTCAGCAAAAAGAAGAGGATTAGCATGGATGTTAGCTCAGGGCTGATCTTCTTCACAAAATAAATAAATAAATAAATAAAAATAAATAAAAATGGTTAAGATGGTAAATTTTATGTTATGTGTATTTTACCACAATTGCAAAAAAGAAAGATAATGAAGTCATGTCTCATGAACATAGGAACCAGCTTGGAGGGCTCCCACTAGCCAAATTTGGGACAATTTGAGTATCAAAATAGACTAGCAACTGTTAATGATCATAACACACTGAAATAATTAAGATCCATGGGTCCATAGTGATACTTGGAAAAAACAGAGAGAAAGAGGAAAAGGGAAAGAAAAAAATATTCTATAATATTAAATAGAAAAAATAGTATACAAAATTGATCCCAAATATGTAAAAACAAATTATGTCTACACATAGGCTCTGGTTTAGCAATTATGGGTGACTTTTTATTTTTCAGCACACTAAGTTTTCAACCTTGAACACGTATTACTTTACAATCAGGAGGAAAAAAATTTTTTTTAAACTGTCGATACCAACTTGAAAAATGTCATGCTAATGCCCATTGTTAAAAAATGAAAAAGAATCATAATTGTGAACCTGAAAATCTTTCTGTTATAGAACAACTTTATATTAAGTGCTATTCTTTTTATGAAGGACAAGAAGTTGGAAAGTTTTATAGGGAAAAAAAGGCCCTTCAGAGGCCTTTGAAATACCATCCTAACGGTATTTTTACACGATGTGAAGACATTAGATGTCTATTCACGCCTTTTAGTATTGAGTGAAATTTATTGTGGTGGTCCCAGTCGTATGATTGCTATGTCGAAGAGAAAAACAAATGAATTTAACCATATTTTATGGCAATATTATCTTTTGCTTGTTCTTATATGAATTTCATTCCAAAAGGTTAACGTTTTAGGTTATTGGTGCCTAGCCTAAATTTTGGCCTTGGGTTTTTATTTTATATTTACGTCTTATAAATATATACATTTATGTTTGTATATTTTATATTTGTATTCATATCATAAACTATACAGTACATATACATACATAAATATTTGTGCTTTTGAGTATTTTAAATCTTATTGATTTAAAGTGCCTCCTCCTTAGTTGGAATAAAATTTACCTAACAAAGTAGATTAATTTACCAGGGAAAATCACTTCATACATTTTAACGGTTTAATAATTAAATTCAATTTGAAGTTAATCTCCAAGACGATGTAATTTTGTGCACACACTAGCTTTTATAAGGTACATCACTAAAAGGTACACAGAAAATTTCTTATGTATAGCTTTTTTTTTTTCCCAAGGAAAGATGAACTATTAATAGACCGTGGAGCAGTAAGCCAGGCTCCGTTCCTATTGACGGTACAAGGAAGCGTAGCTGGGGAGAGATATGGTAGAGTAAACCAAAAACTCAAAAAGTACCTACTTATAAAGACGAGTTCTAACTTTGGCCATTCTATTTACCAGTATGTGGTTTTAGGTAAGTTATTTAGCTTCTTAAAGCTTCTGATTTCCCACCTTACAGATAAAAGTGCTCAGTACACAGAAGTCACATAATAAATGTTAGCTAATGAAAATAAGCAAGTCAAGTTTTCTTTTAAACAAATACAATTATTCAGTTCTGGGCTGGGTAGCCAAAAATTGTACCTGTTCTTGGGAGTATCTTTTTTTTTCTTTCTTGTTTCTATGGACATTATAACCAAAATGGCGTTGTAAGAGAAATCACTAATTATCTTGGTTTTGTTACTTTTGGGCAGTCATGTATTGCTTTGATATAATTTGTCTTTATAAGTCTGATGTATATAAAAAAGTAGCCCTGGGGCTGGCACAGTGGCATAGTGGTTAAATTCGTGTGCTCCCCGTTGGTGGCCTGGGGTTCAAGGATTCCGATCCTGGGTGCAGACCTACACACCGCTCATCAAGCCATAATGTGGCAGCATCCCGTGTGCAAAAAACAGAGGAAGGTTGGCACAGATGTTAGCTCACCGCCAATCTTCCTCACTAAAAAAAAAAAAAAAAAAAAGTAGCCCTGATTTTAAGACAAGCGTTTCTAGAAATGCTATATATTCTTTGGGTAGTTGTTGCTTTTTAGACTACAAAGGGGCATCCCCCGTTTTACCAGTAGATGGCACCTGAGTGTAAGTATGATAAAATGCTATCTGTTAGACTGTGTTAGGTTGTGGAAAGCTATTCTGAATTTGAATTATCCAAGGAGAGGATAAAGAAGAGGTGATGGAACATATTCGTTCACTGAGCTGCAGATTGGTGAAATGTGAAGCAGCAAAACGTGAGGCCCGCGTCTTGGGCGTGCTAAGTTCTAGGTAATAGAGTAGACTGTTGACAGTAAAGCTCAGAGGCGGGATCACGCGGTGGCTAAGATTCCCTGGCTCAGGGATTAGACTGTGTTCGATCCTGACTCCACCACTTACTGACGATGTGACTGTGAGCCAGTTTCTTGATACCTCTTAACAGTAATGTTCTAGTCGGTAGAATAATAGGTAAAACAATATACCTACCTTCACAGGACTGTTGTAAGGAATAACGAGTATATCTAAGTTCACTGCTGATCTTAGTAAGCACTCAATAAATGTTAGGTACTATTTTCTACTTCAATTAGCATATTGAGACAAATATGATAGATATTTGAATATATGTATACCTAAAACCATATACCATTATTTTCTTGATAGAACGGAGGATGATGGGCAAAAGGAGGGATTTGCGGAAATAGTTTGCAATAGGAGTAGATTGCCTGTGTTTACAGTTTATTTATAGAAAACTGAAATTAAAGTATAATTTTGTGTATGAATAAGAAGCATGCAAATAAAAAGAAAGTGTATACTGTTTAAAGCTCATAAATAAAAGTCTTAAAATTCAAATATAAGAAATAGATATTATTGTGTTTTAATTCTTTATGAGAAGAAAACCACAGAGAAACTTTTCTGGGTCATTCCCACTTTCCAATTCAAAGAAAAACCAAAGAGTGGGGGCAGAGGGTGACGGGGAATTTAAAAATCACTCTCTACAAGAACTTTCAGAGCTGGCCAAGTTCTTGACAGAGCGGACAGTGGTGTTGCTTAATTTAAGCCTCATAGGAAAAGCCCACTCTCTTCCGTGTTTCTTGCCCCATGTCCTCGCCCACTAGTTCTCAACCCTGGCTGCACATTATATCCATCCGTGGAGCTTCTTAAAAATATCGACACCTGGTCTTCAACCCTGGGGTGTCTGATTTAATTGTTGAAGTGAGGTCTGGGCATGAGTATGCTTTTTTAGAGTTCTCCAGATAATTCCAATATGAAGTCAGATTGGAAACTTATGGCTAGCTCAGGCATACAATTCCATTATACATTCCGTTGGGTAAAAGCATCGTGCTTTCTGTAGTCACTTAATTAAAAACACAAATTCCCTGGCAGGAGTAAATAATTAAGCTATTTTTCACTCATTAAACTTAGCAGGATTACTTCACCAAATACTTTCTAAAAGTCACCTGAAGAGAAAAGTCCTCCGAGTTCACAATTTTGCCCATTGGCTGTCCTAGCCTGCTGAGAATGCTTTTGTGACATCAGCACTCCCAAATCTGTCCTATGAGTTTTATTTCATACATAATTTTTTTCTTGGAGTAGGTGCATGCAGTAACAGAAAATAAGGCTTGAAACAGGGTAAAGATATTATTTAAATAACAACAAATACTGGAATCTTGAAACACCGCAGGCATATTCTTGCCCCAGGGCCTTTGTACTGGCTGTTCTGTCTAGAATGCTTTTGGCCCCAAATAGCTTCACAGCTAAATCCCTCACCTCCTTCCAGTTTTTGCTAAAAGCTTACATTTTCAGGAGGGTTACCATGCTTACCCTATTTAAAATTGCAACCAGCTTCCCCTGGGCGGTCCTGAACCTGGTAACCCTGCCCTTTTTTGTTGTTGTCAACACCTAACACCATCTAAATGGTGTTAGGTATACTTTACTTATACATTGTTTATTGTCAGTCTTTCCTGCTAGAATTTAAGCTGTTAAGCTAGAATTTAAGCTAATGGTGTTAGGTATACTTTACTTATACATTGTTTATTGTCAGTCTTTCCCGCTGGAATTTAAGCTGTTCAGAACAAGAAATTTTATCTCTGTAATTATTACACTGATGTGTACCCTGTTAAAGTATTTGGCACGTGGGATATGCTCAAAATATATTTGTTAAATGAAATTAATTGTATGCACAGGCTTCTGCATTAAAAGAAATTGATTACTTTTGAGTCACCCTCAATATATATTTTAAAATACTGATTTCAGTTGGAAAAATCACTTTTTGATATTTTGCATTGGGTATAGTTACCATACTGTATAATAAAACATCTTTTTTCCAACAAGAAAAAAATGAACGTCTGTACATATCAAAGATAATTTTTCCCTTTCTCATTGGTAAAAAAAAAATTATTGTAACTAACAATGAAAATAAGTAAATAGAGTGCCATAGGATTCTACAGAGGTCAAAAGTTGGTATACTTATTACGAAAAATTTGATAAAGCTAAGAGACAGAGCAAGAAGCCTTTTTTTTTTTCGATAAAGTGCTGAGAGGAAAAAAGAGTCCACTGGTAGGCACATAAAATAAACAACATAAAATCTTTTTAAAGAGAATAATAGAGAATAAAAAACAATCTTTTATTGTTTTTTAATTTATCTACTTTAAAAAGTAGGACATGTAATAAAGTGTAGATAAATCGGATCATTTAATGTAAATCTGTACATTAGTTATAGATTATCACTAGTTACCCCTAACTAGTGAACAGGTACAGTGGGTTGGCTATAGAGGGAGCGATATTTGGAGACAGAAATAAGTGTCAGAGTATGAGGGAGGGTGTGTGTGTGTTTGAGAGAGAGAGAACATGACCTGAAGAGACAACCAAAAACAGAAGGGAAGACTGACACCTATGGACTTACACACTCACAGACAGACACACAGAAAAGTAAACAGAGTCACGTTAAGTCCTTTAAAGATCACAGCACTGAGACGAATACAAGGTTCTCAAATATGTAATTCAAAATACATATATTATTAAATTATAAAGTTTTGAATTTTTTCCATAACTACTATTTCAATGCTTTTTAAAATATAAATATCGTACTGCATTTTCCCCCTCATTTTTCCTTCATGTCCTTGCTTTGCTAGCCGCTAAGCATGTATAGTCTGCCTTTTGCTGAATCCAGGCCATATATCTAGAAACTGAAACACACTTTCTCAAGTAATATCCCTATTCGATGTTTGTTAGCATACATCCCCAAAGCTGCATTGCATATTTTCAAATATAGATCTCACCCGTTGATCTATATAAATTAAGACGATAAATTAAGTTCGTGCAGGATTCAGTTTGAGGGCTGGAGATTCCAAATGCCTGTTTAAAACTTCTACCCCTGGGCCGGCCCCATGGCTTGGCAGGTTAAGTGCGAGCGCTCCGCTGCTGGCGGCCCTGGGTTCGGATCCCAGCACGCACCGAGGCACTGCTTCTCCGGCCATGCTGAGGCCACGTCCCACATACAGCAACTAGAAGGATGTGCAGCTATGACATACAACTATCTACTGGGGCTTTGGGGGAAAAAATAAAATAAAATAAAACTTCTACCCCTGAACCCTTGGCTAACCTTGATCGGAATATTTATGTTCACTCTGGCTACTTTTCTTGCTTGTATAATGTGCTAATTGCCCCAATCTTCAGAAAACTTTTATCGTAGTTATCATAAATGATACCGCTCACTTACTTTAGAGGTATAGACAGCAGCAGGTTCTGCTCCAGGGCCAGGTTGGAGAGCTGAGAACACCTCTGCAGGGCTCCAGCTTCGAACAAGCTGACAATGTTGTTGTCCAGAAACAAGTGTTTCAAGTCTCGAAGGTCCTGGAAATCTTGCGCTGTAACTCTCTGAATCAGATTGTTGCTCATATCAAGTTTTTGTAGCCTTGCTGGTAGTCTGAGGGGCAACATTTGAAGCTGGTTTTGGGACAACTCGAGAGTAGTTAAATTGGCAAGAAGCTGTGCCCCTTCAACGGAAGAGAGTGAATTTTCCGACAGGTAAAGATGGGAAAGATTCTCTAAGTGTTTCATATCTCGAAATCTTACCACTTTGAGCTGGTTTCTCTCCATCTTTAAAGAGAGCAAGGATTTGGGCAGATTAATAGGAATTTTAGTCAGAAAGTTACCACTGAAACTGAGAAATTGCAAAGACTGAAGAGAAGTAAAGAAGCTAGCTGGTATCAGATGTAGTTGATTATTCTCCATGCTTATGTGTTTCAGATGGGGAAGTGCCAGTGGTCCAGCTACGGACTCAATATTGTTGCCATCCAACATCAAATTTTGCAAACTGACAAGGGAGGAGAGCATGCTGGGAGAGAGAGAAGAGATCAGGTTGTTTTTAAGTTCAAGGATTTTTAATTTCTCCAGTCCTTCAAAATCGGATCCGTGAAGGACAGGTATTGAATTATCATTTAGTTTTAGCACTTCAAGACTGGTGGGGAGAGCACTAGGGACTCGTCTTAACTTATTTTTCCAGAGTTCCAAGGTCTTCAAGTTACTCAGAGTTTTGAAAGTGTCATTTTCTACTGACTCTGTTCCGCTGGCCAGCAGACTAAAATCTTCTAGAGCCAACATTCCAGTGAAGTCAGACAGCTACAAAAAAAAGCAGGGGCAGGAAGGGGAGAAAAAAGCAGTAAATTAAGATTGTTGTGAAAAAAGACCATATGCATTATTGTTCAATATTAATGACACTTCACATTTCCCTTCAAGATCTATTTAAAATTATCTCTTGGAAAAAGGTGGAAACTCAGGTCCTGACTCTTTTTATTAATGATTGGTGACAGAGTAAGATATCAAAAATATTTTAAGCACTTTCACACACTATTGGTAGATATATAATATTGGTCAACTTTTGCTGCATATTCTCTGACCCAGCAAGTTTACTTCTCAGCAGAAGTACTTACAAGTTGCATAATGATTTATGCCATAAGATGTTCTTTGTTGCCTCATCTTATAATAGCCCCAAATTGAAACAATCCGAAAATCTTTCACCAAACTCTTAACAATTGCTAACTCGAGGGTATAAGATTACAAGGGTTTTTCACTATCTATATACATTTCACATTGTTTAGATTTTTGTAAATTATAAATTACATTAAAAAAATTTTGAGGATTAAAGTAAAAATTTTAAATGCCCTAGATACTGCTATCACTAGGATGGGCCTATCAGAGAAATGTTTCCAACTATATTTTGGAAAACTAGCCTTCCTGCTCCCTACCCCCCAATTTGCACTTAACTGATGAACAAGATTGGTGAAGAAACAAACAAGATCCACATGTCTCCATCTCTGTAGAGCAGGAAGTTCATTCATGCATACATCCCAGTGCTAATGCTATTCCTCTCCTCGATTTTAGGAATTACCAAATCTGATATACTTTCTCCATGATTTGCAAGTTCAAGCACCCCTATTTCTCTACATGTCTGCCAACCTTCCGGCTTGACTTCCACCTCTTTTCCAGGATAATGTAATCCTTGGCATTTGGTTCTCAGAGTAAGATCATGTTTAAGCAGAAAGAGGAATTGTTCCAGGTTTTCTTCAGCTTGATAAATCTTCACAAAATTTTCAACCTGCTTTAGAATTCAATTAAGCTGGAATTTTCAATGCACAATTTTTTACGTCTTCCTACCTACAGTTTCTAAATGTTTGATTTAATTATGGAGTTGATCCCTTTTTATAATACCAATACACGATTAATGCCTCCAAAGTGGGTTAATTTTGCAGCACATATTTATTATAGCTACTTATATTCTGGGAGGACATGTGATGGGAATTGTAAAGTATACATTAAAGCATCTTCTAATATGATATTCTATTAGAAGAATCTCAAGTTAAAATTTATATAAACAGATATTTTTAATCATAATAGTTTTGGCAGCTGCCTTGGGTTATATAGTGCTGCTAACATTTGATATTTTCTTAATGATTAATTAGTTGTATTGATTAGTCCTAATCCCAATAACAATAGCAATTTTTTTTCTTACACTTGTTGAGTATCTACAAGTGCCAAGTGCTTTTTTATATGTTTTAATTAACTCTCCTAATAACCCTGCAAGTTTGCTGTTATCAACACTGGCTTATAGATGAGGAAACTAGAAGCTGGTAAATGAAAGGGTTGAGAATTTCAACACGCTGTATTGGACTCCCAAGCCCTTTCTTCCTCGGCTCACCGTTTTCTAATGCATTTCTATTACATTTAGTCTATAATTAATGTATTTCAAAAAAGACTCAAGATCTGGACATTAAGTCACAGAGTTTTAGAAAAGCAGAGATTTTAGAGATTATCTAGTCCAAACTCCCATTTTAAGGGATGAAGAATTTCAGGCCACAGGAATTAAATGACCTGCCCAAGACTCAGTGTTTTTTAATCTACTCTCCATTCTAAAGTGACCCTTTCTAGGCTTTTTCATATAAAGTCAAAAACAACTCTAGACATAGATCTTCACTTCATGGACTGTTGATCTCCCCAAAGAAGAACTAGGTGTTACTAATACTTCCACTTCTACTTGAGTGACCAGAAGCCCTAAAAGATTGCTGACTATGCAGCAAGTCTCAGAGACGACGTGGATCTGAACGGGCAATTTATTTGGGGATGAGACAAAGAAAGTGTGATGTGGGAGCTTCCCTTTGTCTTCATTTCTATTTGTAAAGTAAATGGACCGGTCTAAATAGTAAATATAGTTCATATTCTTAACTGAACCCAGTGGATAGTTGCTTTATGAAGCATAGAGAACCTTTTCCTTTTCTTTTTGTCAGAGTCATTGCAGATTACCTTGGATTATTATTAATTAACATGGCTACCATTTTCTAAGTATTTACTGTGTTTAATCTTTACAAAGCCCTATATGTGAGCATGATTATTATCTTTGCAGAGAAGGAAACTAAGGCTCAAGAAGGTAAAATACCCTGTCTAAGGATATCTTGCTAACAAGTGGAAAAGGTGGGCTTCCACCCCAGGTTTATCTCACCCCAACACATATATTTTGAACCTTAACTGCTATAACATGCATCTAGCTAAGGAATATAGAGTTCTGGTGCCACAAACAGCGAGGAAGACACTCGCTGATTTTCAGCTTGCAGTTGAGTTTGCAGAGCTGACAAAGGGAAAAAAGTTCTGCCAGACCTGTGTTTCCCTGTCCATAGCCTAAGCAGGGCTGTGCTCAAGAGATCTGGAAAGAGATGCTTTTGCCCTAGAGCTGACCTTGGGGCTGCTGGCAGTGTTTTGAATGTTGCTTAAGCAGGACAAGTATGACATGGTACTTTTTTTTCTTTTTTTTTTTTGTGAGGAGGACTAACCCTGAGCTAACATCTGATGCCAATCCCCCCCCCCCTTTTTTTTTTTTCCTTGAGGAAGATGGGCTGTGAGCTAACAACCGTGGCCATCTTCCTCTACTTTATATGGGACGCCGCCACAGCATGGCTTAACAGGCAATGCATCAGTGCATGCCGGGGATCCGAACCTGCGAACCCCGGGCTGCCGCAGCGCGCGCGCTTAACCGCTTGTGCCACCAGGCCGGCCCCTGACATGGTATTAATAATCAGGCATAGGAAGCTTAGCTAAGTACAATTCCTGCCATCACTATTTTACAGTTTAGTGAGCCTAATATATGTGTTGATAACAGTTATAATAAAATATGAAAAGTTAAAAAATACAAGCAAGTAAAGTGAGGGAGAACACAGGGGCAACTCTTGCCTGCTTCTCCATGAAGGGCTTTGTTTCTAGGTTCAATTCTAGGCAGGCCCAGCTCCAAGCACTAGAGGGCCTGGAACCTTTCTTGCGCTCCTTATAGATCCAATGTATGCACGAAACTGACACACCCTCACCTGACAGCCTCAGACTTCTGTGAACCAAGCCAGCAAGGAGTTCATAAAACAATGTTGGAGTTTTTTTCTGATCATCAAAGTAACACTTGTTCTCTGTAAACAGTTTTAAAATTCTAGAAAGTATGGAGAGAGTATAAAAATAAGCCATAACCCCCCCACTCAGTGATAAGCTTGCTGTTTATACATTTCTTAATCCGGAGGAATTTGAAGGAATCCTTCTCTTCCACAAAAGATGTAAAGTACAGTTATTTTAATTGACTGCCACCATAATGACATTCCTATTTGCCCTCTGAATGTAAGAGATAAAACTGTAAAACTCTTAGAAGAAAATATTAGCATAAATTGTCCTGACCTTGGATTTGGTAACAGCTATCTTAGATATGACACCAAAAGCAAAAGTGACACAAGAAAAAAATAGATAAATGAGACAATTAAAATTAAAATTTTTTGTGCTTCAAAGGACATCATCAATAAAAGGGAAAAGCCCACAGAATGGGAGAAAATTTTTGCAAATAATATAGCTGATAGAAGACTTGTATTTAGAATATACAAAGAATTCTTACAACTCATTAATAAAAAAACAAATAACCCAATTAAAAAATGGGGAAAGGATTTGCATAAACATTTCTCCAGATAAGATAACCAAATGGCCAATAAGCACATGAAAAGATGCTCAATATCATTAGCCATTAGTGATATGCAAATCAAACCATAGTAAGATACCACCTAACACCCATTAGGACGGCTATGATCCAGAGAAAAAAATAAGAAATGTTAGCAAAGATATGGAGAAATTGGAATTGTCACACACTGCTGTGGGAATGCATAATGATGCAGCCACTTTGGAAAACAGTCTAGCAGTTCCTCAAAATGTTAACTATAGAGTTCAGAAATTCTACTCCTAGGTATATGCCCAAGAGAAATGAAAACGTATGTCCACACAAACACTTGCTACTTACAGATCCTACAACAGGAACTTGGAGGAGATTATTTTAAGTGAAATAAGCCAGTAACAAAAACCACAGGCTTAGGGAGAGAGATTGAATTCAGTTTGGGGCATGTTATTTTGAGATCCTTTTTATATATTTAAGTGAAGTGGTCCAGTGGACAGCTGGACCAGTCAGAGACATGGGGGAAAGGGATGAATTAGAAACTCAGTTATACGGGCCGGCCCCGTGGCTTAGCGGTTAAGTGCGTGCGCTCCGCTGCTGGAGGCCCGGGTTCGGATCCCGGGCATGCACTGACGCACCGCTTCTCCAGACATGCTGAGGCCGTGTCCCGCATACAGCAACTAGAAGGATGTGCAGCTATGACATACAACTATCTACTGGGGCTTTGGGGGGAAAAAATAAAAAAGAAACTCAGTTATAGGAGCCATCATCACTTAGATAAAGTGAAGTCACCTAAGGAGAGTGTATATAGTAAGGAAAGGAATGGCTGAGGATTGAGACTCCCCGGAGAAACCAAAAACTAAGGGGCAGTGGAGGAAAAGAAACCTACAAAAATGGCAGAAAAGAAATATCAGAGAGGAATAATGAGGACATAAAAGTGTGGTGTCGGGGCTGGCCCAGTGGCATAGTGGTCAAGTTAGCTTGCTCTGCTTTGGCAGCCCCGTGGTCACAGGTTCAGATCCCGGGTATAGACCTATGCACCGCTCATCAAGCCATGCCGTGGCAGCGTCCCATAAACAAAATAGAAGAAGACGAGCACAGATGTTAGCTCAAGGCCAATCTTCCTCAGCAAACAAACAAACAAAAAAAAGTGTAGTGTCATGGAAAGCAAGAGAGTGAGAATTTCAAGAAAATAGGAGTGAGCCAATGTCTGAGAAAGAACAGTTTTAACACCGTGTGGAGTAGGTAGAAACCAGACAGCAGTGAATTAAAGAATAAATAGGAGGTGAAGAAGTGGAGACAGTAAGTGCAGACAATTCTTTCACAGAAGTTTGCAAATAAAAGGAGATAGCAGCAAGAGGAGACACAGAATTAAAAGAATTTTATTTCTATGGTAATGAAAGGAGCATATTTAGAGTCTAGAACAGGGTGCTAGTCAAGCAGCAGCAGCTGCAGGTATGGGGGCGGGGAGAATGGTGGAGCAAGCTCCGGGGAGAGGAAGAAAGGTAGAATCAAGGGCATAGGAGGGAGGTTGCCTTGAATAGAAGGAGGACATCTCATCCTCTCTGTCTGGAGAAAGAAGTTTGTAGAATTAAATGGAGACAAGTTAGTATACAGCGAGCAGGACCTGAAGGAGATCAAGACTAATGGCCTCAGTTTTGTCGTGATTTGTCAACAAAATGGGAGGCCAGCCATTGGTGAGAATGAGGAAGGCGGGTAAGAGCAGGCAATCCAAAACCAGCCTTATTTCATACAGGTAAAAAGCGAGGCCCAGAGATTCTTTAACCGCCTTAGATAGTCACATCTCTAGTTAGTGAGAAAACTAAGATGCGAACCCTGGTTTCTTGAAACCTTTCAAAATACCAAAGGCCAAAAACAAAATGTTATAAAAGTCAGACAACCCTCTAGCAGTCTTTTCTGTGCCCTCTGAATAGGTAAGCATAGAATTGAAAGTCATAATTAAAAACACATAGAGGGGGGAAAAAATAAAAAAAATAAAATTATAAAAAAAAAAAAACACATAGAATGAGAACTGCAGAATGTGGCAAAACCAAAACTAGTATTTTCTCTGTGTAAGTTTCCACAAAGACATCGATGCCTGGTGGGTATGAAGGGTTTTATGAATAATTCTCATACGCTAGTTTCATCTTGATAGTCTTATAATGCTCTAAGTATCATCTGCCTTCTATGGCTTAAATGAAAATATTTTTTTCCCCTGAAAGGACTTATTCTTAATTCTGGGGACATCAAGTGGCCATATGCTGTCAAACTCTTTTTGTTAAGAAAGAGCCATTCCTTTAGTTTTACTTTGCAACAACAGAATTAAAAAAATTTTTTAAATAAAAACTGAAATAAAATACCGTTAATTATAGATTCTGATTTTTTTTTACTGCTTACCTAAAAAGAAATATCCAGAGGCATATACACATCTTGCAGTTGGCAAGTGCAACTACCCTAACTTGATAACCATCACTTTTAAGTTTTGATTATTTAAATCAAGTTTAACAACTTCACACTCACCCCTCACCCGGCTTCACAAAACAAAATTGCAGCAACTTGAGTGCAGAATGAATAGTTACCTGGAGGTGTTGAATTTTGCTGTGGCTGATGAGGAGCCTCTTGGTGGTGGAAGGAAGGCCCGACGGTACTTCCGTTAGTCTGTAGCATTGTGCAGACTGCACTGCATCACAGCTACACCTTCCAGGGCAGTTAGGATCGAAACCGTGGCTAAGAGAGAGCACAGCAAGGAAAGCATAGAGCAGATGCATTTTCCCAAACAGGGCCTCTCAGGTAGCCGGCGAGGGTTTAGGTGATGTCTCACTCTTTATACCAGGAAATCTGATAATAGCATCTTATGAATGTGTACTCTGTCAATGTAAGAAGACAGGAAAGAAAAAAATTCTCAATTTGCCTGGGTTAAAATGTTAGCAACCATTACAAAGAAAAAGGAGCTTAAACATTGATAAGCTGCCTTAATATTTGTGGGTGAGCAAAACCCTATGTTATTTATGGCTTGGAAACCTAATCTGCAAACACCTCTATTATCTGTAGTTTCCTTGTTTTGTTAAATGTGACACCAGGGAATTAGTGGGAAGAGACAAAGAGCTGTTTTATAGCGGGCTATAAAACCTTTGAATTTTCTGTGACCCTATATTAAAACCATTTTTGTAGGACTGCAGCAGGCAGGTGTTTTCTTCTCACATTAACTAGTAAGGGAAAATGGGCAGGTTTTCTATTTATTTTTGTTGTTTCAGTAACATTTTATTGCTGGACGAAACAATGGGATACAATGGAGAGATATTTAGAGCCACAAAGAACTTGTTCAATTCATCTATCACTTGACCCACCCAAATATCATATCTGGAAAATATTTTTGTCATTCAACAATTTGTTGACTCAAATGAGAATTAACCATCAAAGTGGGTCCATGTCTTCATCTATGTGTAATAATGAAAGAAAAGGCCTCTAGTTTCTTCAGAGGAACTTGGTTGTGAAAACGGGCTGGAGAGGGAAAGCTTCATTTGTCCTGGGTGCTCCTTTGTTGTGGCTTTTTGTCTTGCTGTGGTCTCCCCTGCTGAGGAATTTGAAAGCATTTTAAGCAAAAGATTATATACAGAAGCTCTCTCCTCTCAAGTGGAAGGCCTAAATTTCCCCAGGGTGGTTGGCCTCAGCAGATTTCTCTAAAGAAACCCTTTCTAATATTGAAAAGCTTCTCTTATCTCCTGTTCAACCTTACCTCTCTTTGCTACAATTTTCATTTTGAAGCCAAAAGTTTCTTTGATCCGATAATCAATTCATTTTATTTCCAGAGTAAGGATATCTGTGTGCTTTTCCCAAAAGACTTTTCTACTCCCCTTTTCTGATTGTTTTCCCTCTGTTTTCTTTTCTTCTACTATCAGAGACAAGGAATGATAAGAGATTTGTTTTCTGTCAATATTCTGATTTTCAACAAACTTATTTATTTCTCTTGTCTAGTAGGAGAATTATTTTTTAATTTTTAGAATTTTCAGATAGCAAAATAATTCTCAATAAAAGAAAATTTGGAAAAAAGAGCAAGGAGGGAAAAAAAAATCAACTTTAGTCCTATTCCCAAATCAAACATTTTTCCAGTTTTATCTGCCTAGGCTTTGAAACAACAAAGAGAAATACTCATCGATCATTATTTTTTTTCCTGTGTTGCTAAAAAGGTAAATTCATATTTAGTTACTTGGAATGAAATGCTGACAAAATTCTATCCTCTCGTCTGCCATCAATGACAGCTAACTTTTCTCTGTTATTCAGCACAGCAATGAGTTCCCTTTTCTATCCTCTGTTGGTGGCCACAGGATTCCCTTTTCTTTAAGCCTTGAATTACACTGTATAATGTTTTTTTCTTCATTTCCGTGGTATTTCTGCAATTTTCCTGCAATTTTGGCTTTCTCTCTAATATATACTATTTTATATTGTGAATAGTTTTATTTTCTCACGTTGTAAACATACTCATAGGCAAATTTATATTCTGCCCTTTTCACTATTATAATATTTTTCCATATTATTTCATAGTCTCCATAAATATAACTTTATTGTTTAATAGGCCATCAAGAGTATTGTCTAAATTTGATTACTTTCTAAGTGTTGGACTTTTAGGTTGTTTCCTGACTTTACCGTTATAAATATAAATAACTTTGATCATAAAAAATTTGAGAATGTTTTGAAGAATAAAAGATTCTTCTGTTCCCCGGACCACACCTATTTATTTAGGGTTAAGCTGAGAAATCAACTTTTTTTTCAGGTAGAAGGCAAAGTCTTGTTGATACTACCCACTGCAGAGAAAGTATAAAGGTATAGGCTGAGCGCTCAAAGGAGGTGCATGTTTTCTTGTACCTGCTCTGGAGGTGACAGGGCCCTTTGCAGTTATGTTATGCTAGGAAGCAACCACAAAAGCTGCCGCCATTGCTCAGCTTCTAGCTTACTTTCTGCTGATTTTTGGAGTTTTCACATATTGACTAAGAGCCATGGGTATAAAGTTCCCTACCTTTGGCTTGAGTTTTTGGTTCTTGAGCTTATGGGTCTCTAAGGCTGAGTGTGAGGCATATTTCTCTTTTCTCTAAAAAGGACTTAACACCTTATGTGATCATTATTACTTGGCTTCTTTGGGTAAGGAAAACAAAGTAAAGGAAGATGGGTGCCTTTCTCCATTAAGGAAACTCAATGACTCACCTGGCTGTTCAAAAACAGCCCGGAATCTAACTTTAGGCTTTCAGCACAGGAAAGATTGCAAACTCAAGGAACGTGCTTTGTGTTTGAATTTGGACTGAATTAGATTTATGTCTTTGTCAGATTCTCAAGCCAGGATCCTCCCTGACTCGCTTTCTTATCTTCTTTATCTTTATCCCCTATCCCCGCCTCCCTTGCTGCCTCCTTCCCTCCCTCTCTTCCTTTCTTTCTTCCTATGACTCAGTGGTTCTCAACTGGGGGCAATTTGGCAATGTCTGGAGATATTTTTGATGACAATAAAAGGTGTGTGGGGGGGTAGGCAGTGCTACTGGCATCTAAAGGGTAATGGCCAAGGCTGCTACTGAACACCCTACAATGCACAGGACAGCCCTAACAACAGAGAATTATGCAATCCAAAATGTGAATAGTGCCATTGGTAAGAAAGCCTACAATAAACATAAATATTTGCCTCTGTGCTATGGATATTGGCCTTCCTTGGTTTATTAAAAGCAAAGGGCAAGTTCCCATTAGAGATGGGAAGCCAAATTCCAGAAAATCAAATGACTAACCCAAATTCTCCCTGATTTGGGTGCACAAGCATTGGCTTGTGATTCCTATTATAGAACTGATCAACCAAGAGCTAAACAGAAGACTTTAATTTATGAAAATCTCTTTCTGAGTTTAAAGAAAAGAGATTTAAAGAATAAAAAAATTGTGAACATGATTCTTTTTTAACTTGTTTGCTTCTTCTGGAGAATGTTGCAAAAAGAGCATAAGTTTAAAGTAAAACAAAAAAATAAATTTTTCTACGCCTCAACCTCTCCTAATCTCAATTTTTTCTTCTATAGAATGAAGATAAAATGGGGGAAATAATTTCCATGTTACAGGCGGAAACAGATGAAACGAACTAAGGCATGTCAAGTCCATGGGCAAAAAGAGGATTTCTATAAATGATAATTGTATCAGTTTAGGTTATTGCTTGCAAGCAATGGAAACAAACTCTGGCTGATTTAAGCAGAAAAGGAATTATTGAAAGAAAATCGGGTAGCACACAGAATTGTAGGAAAGCCTGGAGAACCAAATTTGGAAATGGACAAGAATAAAGGAAGGCTATATAACCAGAATCACAGGCAAAATCACACTTCAGTCTAGTGTCACTGCAGAGCACAGATGCCCTGGCCTCCACCACTGAACCAGAAATTGGATACCATTGCTGGCACTGCTGCTACTGGAAAAGGATGCTGCTACCCCACTCCTATCTCTACTCCTACCAAGAAGAATTCTCACAATTCCTGCCTCACTATCTCCATGTTAAAAATTTCAGGTGGATGATTTTGGTTAGCCAAGCCTAGGTCACATGCCTAGGCAGAGCTGGGAAAGCGATTATTTGAACTTTTTAGTTCATTACGGGAGAAGGACTCAATATTCAAGTCACATAAGGTAAGGAATTCCTTAAGCAGAGGAAGGGGGTTCAAATATGGACAGTCTCTCATTTGCAGCGACAAATGTCCACTATAGAAATCTTTTCACTCTCAGTCTTTCTGTTCATCATGACCACAAAAGCCAAATGAGCTTTGAGTGAGTTACAATGAACTGGGGACAAAACAAATTCTATTTCCAACAACTGTTGTGACATGGCTTTTGTTTGTTTCACCCTACTTTTCTGATTTGTTCATTTGGAAGACTATAAGAATTCTAATGAGATCATTTAAAGTATTATACTTTTTAATATAAGTTCAAAGAAAAGATAATTAATGTTAAAGGGTGTTTGGAATGCAATTGTTTTGGGCCCCTTATAAAACTCATCTATAAGAAATATAAATGACAGAGGCTGATGTGGGGGAGTCTACGTTTGATCTGTAAAGTCTGACAATCTGAGAAATAAACAGTGACTTGACAGTGGATGAAAGAGGAAGAATCGATGATTAGTAAACTCGGATACCACTGTTGATAAATGGTGGTTTAGATAATGCTGACCCAAACCTGGAGCTGTGGGAAAGAGTAAATGAAGAATGCAGATCAGGTGACAGTGGAAAAGCAGTTATAGTCAGTCTTAGAGAGTGTCAGGGAATAAAAATATAGTATTAGGAATTTCTAAAATTGTTTTTTGTTATGTTTTGTTTTTAGGTTTGGGTACATGATACAAAACATAGTTATCTCATAAATTTTAACTATGGACTAGGTAAAATAATTCTCAAAGCCTAAATTATATTGGAGTTATTAGTCAAATCAACCAGATCATTGTTAAATGAACCTTTCTTTTTAGGTTGGGAAACATATTCCTTGGAATTTAAAGGAATATGTATTTTATAGATATTCCTAACCCCTGAGCCAATATAAAAATATGTTCAGCTATGCTCTCTAGCAGGTATCAAAGGCATATCTTGGAAAGTGACTGCTTTTAGAATCTCTTACATAGAGTGTTGTAACATCTTAATTATTGAACTGACCACACAAATATTTTCAGCATTCCTACTATAGCCCAGGTCTTGTGTTAGGACTTGGTATTCAAAGATAGCAAGATACAGTTATTGCTGCCAAGGAGCTCACAGTTTAAGGGGCTCCAAAAAACATATGATAAGTGCTATAGCAGGTATTTGCAGGAAACTAAACAGCAATGGAGTCCATAGCTCCACATGAGGAGAAAAAAGGAAGGCTTCCTGGAAGAGGTGTCTGAGCTAAACCTAAATCACTGCAACAAAATTCTCAAGTTTTAAGAACAAGAGAGCAAACAGTTGTTCCGTAAGGGTATATAAAAGAAATAATCAGGAGAATGAGGCTAATAAATCTCTTTGGAATGCCCAAACTTACTTCTTTAGCACGTCTATCACAAAATTTCAAATTGTTAGTAAATATCAATAAATATAAATAATACACATGCATATGATATTCCAAGACTTTTCCCACATTGCTCCAGTAAAATGGTAGTGTGTTTTCCTTGGCTTTCTTTATTCATCATACAACTGTTTATAGCGACCAACAGCAATTACTACCTTTTCCTTTTCCTGGTTGGATTACTGGAGAGTAAATGAAATGTGTGAAGCTTAGTACGGGACCTGGTACACAGTAGAGTACAATAAATGGCAGTATCGTTCTCCATTCCAAGGTAGATCTTCTATGGCCGTTCACCTCGGTGTCTTTGCAATTAATGTTTGAACTCTACACTAACCTCACAGCTAAATACCAGTACTTACCAGAGAAATCTTTAGCATGTTCCCTTTTTCCCCAGTTTCCTCAGTCTCTCCCCTATTTATTCTTAGTAATACCTTGTGGTAAAACTCTAGGGATAAGTTCCTAAAACAGGACTGTCACATTTAAGTTATAGTAGAAATGTTTAATCATGTAAGCATGATTCATGAAACAGAAACATTGCACTTATGCCAATGCAATTGCAAATAGAAGTATCATGATTTTATTATCTCTAGAAAAATAAACTCCACAAGTATTGAGATTACATACAATTCCAAATTCCAGAGTAAGTCAAGATAAGGCAGTAAATGTAATAGAGCTTGCTGACAGCAGATGGCAGCACTTGAACATCAAACTCGGCTCTTCACTTCCGTGTTGGTCTGTGACTTGCAGAAATGCAAAACCCCAATCAAAGTGGGCAAATGATAATGTCCACATAGAGGGCACCTCATGAGTATTTGAAATAGTCACATAGAACCAAGATAGTAAGCACATAGGGATGTGGCAGCTGGTACATGGTGTGATAACGAGAAGAGACAATATGAGATGAAAGTATTTAGAGGCACAGAGGGTGTGATTTGTTGGAGTTGTAAAGATCACAAACAGAAATGGAGGTGGGTTCTACAATCCTGGAAATGGAGATCTTCAAAAAGGATCAGAGCACTCAAAACATATAAATACTTAAAATGCATTTCAGTTGAACCCACACAATACAGCAAGAAGTTGAATGACATTTTTTTAAAGAAACGAAATTTATTTTCAAGTGTAGTATAAACTAAAGAGAGTGATAAGTAATAGTGAGTATTACAATTACTTTTTTTTTAGGAACATTTCTTATATATTAATAGATTTGCATATGGCTTATAATTAGGAAGAAATTACTTTTTTGAAAAAACTTTTGGCCTGATTTGCCAATTTATTATACTGGTAATTTATACAAGAAGAAATGGATTCCCTCCTCCTTATGTAACCCATGGTTAACAGCTAAGACTTTGGAGAAAAAGACATCTAAATTGAAATCTCACCTCAGTCGATTTTTAGCTGTATGACCTTACCAAGATCCTTAAGCTCTCTGTGACTCATCTATAAAAAAGTGATAATAGCTTCCTCACAGGATTTTGTGAGGGTCAAAGAACTGAAGCAAATAGCACAATGCTTAATACACAGTATGTACTCAACAACTGAAAGCTATTCCTATTATTGTGATTCCATGTATGTGCCCTCCCTCCAATTTTACATTATTTACTTCAAATTCCTGAAAACGCATTGCTAACTATATTATGTATAGAGAAAGTGGCTGGGAACTTGGTAGCTGTACTGATGTTCTTGCAAATACTGAAATATTGAAATATAAAGTTAATTTGAAAAGGAATGGGGAAAGATGCAAATTTTAGTTTTACATTATTTTTTGTGTATTAAAACCTGTATGAAGGTGCCTATTTAAGCTCAAGGCCAGGATCTCACCCTTAGTTTTGCTTAGCTAAGTCTGCTGAAGTCAAAGGACTTTATTGACCCATGTTAACCAGTTGGCCCTGCAGTCTCCAGACAGCAAACCAAACCTATGATTTCTTATTCCTCACTGGCCTTGCGTTGGCGAGGGGCACAAAGTGCTGGCTTTGGTGGTGATTAACTGGAAGAGTCTGTCCTATGAACAGATCATAGAAGAGTCTGTAGTCGGCTAGTAAAATATTCCCCTAGGCAATGCAGGAGAGACAGTTTCTACCAGCCTTCTCTAATCAGACTGGTTTCTCCGTCCTTTTCCAAGACGGGGCTACTCTTGAGTAGAAGAGGGTTAAAACTGAGTAGGTGGAATGGTAAAGAGCAGTTGCTAAACACTCCCAAGGGTACTGCAAAATTCAAATTAAGTTGTAGCTATGCAGGTTAGACTCACTAGCCTGTGAGCTCTGCTTGACTAAGGGTCATGTCTCATTTATTTTTGTGTCCCCAATGCCTCAACAGGGCTCTGCATTCAATATATTTATGAATATGTGAGTCTTCATAATTTTTTTTTCCTGAAATTCACATGTGGCTACACTGTACCAGTTTTTGAAATAAGTACACCTTTTGAAGTAGTTGCTTTGGAAATGTATGACCGGCGGTGTAATAAGGAATAGCAAGTGCCAAGCACTGAAGCTAAACATTTTACCTCATTACTGAGCGTAGCAAATTTTGGAAACTGAGGCTTCGAGATTAAAAACTACAATGAAGACGGCACAGCTAATATGTGACAGGGTTTAATACTTGAACCCAAGCCTGCCTCTTAATTACAAGACAAAAATGTATCGTATTAATTCAGCAAAACCTGGGCAGCCGCTGTCCTTCAACGTGCAGCTCTAGGCAGTTTCCACCCAGAATTTAGGGCCTGGTTTACCAAGAAGAGCCAGTTTGTCCATCCACCCCACCCACCTCACCCACCTCACCCTGAACAGGAAGTGGAATGGAAAAGGTAAAACGTGGCCATTGCGCATGCTCACACCGCCCTTCCTCACTTTCCCTTCCCTGCCCCTGGACGACACCGCAGAAACTTTCCCGGACGACTTATAACGGCCTCCGCCCACTGTGAAGTCAGACGGGCGGAAGTCGTTCCTCTCTGCGACGTGGATGCCCTTCTCTTCCTCGAGCCGTTTCAACTTGGAAGCCGATATCAAGCGCCTCTGTTTCTCGGGTATTCAAACTGCAGTTTGCCAGTTGTCAATATGGCCGCTGACGGGCGGGTCCCAAGCAGAGGCTTTTCATAGGCCAAGGTCGCATCCTAGCCCCGCCCATTTCGCCCCGCCAGGCTGCGTCCGTCTGGGTCTTCGCTACGCATGCGCAGCGGGGGCGGGTCGTGAGGTGGGACGGCCCGCGTCTTCCGTGTGCCGCCGCCGCCGCCTCAGTGTGGCTGCTGCTGCCGCTCTGGGGCTGCCTTGCCAGCCTTAGCCGCGCGAGGGGAAGGGAGGGGACCCAGGGAACGTGCGTGCGCGGGGGTCCCCGCAGTCCCATCAGTTCCTCTCGCGCGGGGTGGGCGGCGGGGGTCAGCAGCAGTTGGGGGAGGCCCTGGACAGCGCCATGTCGGCGGGCGGCCCGTGCCCGGCAGGAGCCGGAGGGGGCCCCGGGGGCGCCTCCTGCGCCGTGGGGGTCACCCCCGGCGGGGTATCCATGTTCCGATGGCTAGAGGTGCTGGAGAAGGAGTTCGACAAGGCCTTCGTGGATGTGGATCTGCTCCTGGGCGAGATCGATCCGGACCAGGCGGACATCACTTATGAGGGGCGACAGAAGATGACCAGCCTGAGCTCCTGCTTTGCGCAGCTTTGCCACAAAGCCCAGACTGTGTCCCAAATCAACCACAAGCTAGAGGTGAGCTGCTGGCGCTGGAGGGGGTGGCATTCAACCCCGGTCATCAGATTCTATTTAACGCACCAGGGAAGCGACCCTAGAAAACTGCCCACTAGGGCACCTGGGCTTCAAATGTGACGGGGGAGTGTGTGTGTATATGTGTGAAGGAAAGGAGTGAGGTGAAGTTGGAGTAGAAAAAGGGGTGTAGATCGACGTGTGGGTCTCCCCGTGTCATCCACCTTCCTAGTATCTCTATGAGGAGGAAACAGGAACTAATTACACCAGCCTACTTGTACATATTACATTAACAAATCTAAGATTAAGCTCAAAGCTTCTCTGTCATAAGAATACCTTAGCCCACTCTTTAACATTTGGGTTTTTAGATCTCACATTGATAAACGAGGTATTTATGTCACCAGACAGATACACTCCTGATTATTTTTAACCATTTCAGGTCAAGGTCTGTTGTTGCACACAGACATACTCGTGCCAGCATGCATGAACTAGTTAGGGGAATATGATCAATGCTCTTAGGAAGATTTAGTGGGATAAACACTAAATAGTATCAGTATCCTTCTTGGTTTACAGTTGGTCTTTAAATTACAGGCGTATACCTCCAGAGCTCCCTACAATTATTTAAATGACTTCTAACATTGAGGTTTTGTTTATGCTTTACTATATTTCCCAAAATCTGGATTTATTTTTTAGAGTATGTGAAGAATGGTCATTTGCTTTAGTCTCTAATCTTGGTTGTGGGTGTGGGTGGATGGTGATGGTTCCAAAAAAGCAAAAACACTTACCATATTGTGCAGCAAATTAAATTAGTACATTATTACAGTATTTAGAAATCATGATAGATTAACATTATTACATAAAGAGCATTTTCTAACTAGATAATTTAAATAAGAGAATGGGTCTTCATTTTAAATAGATATAAATAGGATAATCAGTGATGTACAAAGTCCTTTGAACGTTAGATTTACTAAGAAATCATCATTGCTATCAGTTGTAATGATTGAGAGTGCCCATTGGATCCAAATCAATATGAGTATCAGATATGCATCGTCTCCTTGCTTGTGGTTAGCATTCTTTCTCTTTCCTGTCAGTTAGCCATGAAAAAGGTGGGATAATTCATCTTTGATTAGCATAGAATTGCATATCAGAGATTTTGTGACTCTTCTCCCCTGAAAGGACTGTTCATTTCTTCCATCCTTTTTGAAAAGGTTGAAGTGGGAGTGCCAGTAGGAAGCTAAACACTTCTTATGAAAATGTCTCTTGATTTCTTGATTAGGGGTAATTTCTAAAAGATATTTATTTTTCTCAGGTAGTGAAATTGCATTTGTTGGTTTTTAGAAATAGTACTTTAGGTTTAAGTAACAGAGCAAGAGTGGCTTTTACCACATGAGAACTTCCGTACCATTTACAACTGCAAGTATCTACTGAGAATAAACAGCTTTTAAAAAGTGAAACAATATCTAATTCATTTCTTTAATGACTTAAGGAAACTTGAAAGAGTGATATTTTGATGTCAGATATAAAATCTAATTTTGGAGAAAGGATCATTCTGTGAGTAGGAGGTGGTGCTCAATTTTTTTCATCTTTAAATATTTTAGATAAATATTCAGAGCTATAATAAATTATGCATGTTCTTTTTTTTCAGAAATTATAGTTACATATTCTGGCTCCATGCCTGGCTTAGGAGGTGGTGTTGTTTCTCAAAATAAGAAATGCTAACCTATCACAATGTGAGCATATTTTTTCAACATGCCTGAAACCCTTGATTTAAAGATCTTAGAAAATGGGGAGGGGAGAGACTAATGTGATTTTTTTGTTGTTCTTTGTGTATTTTTTCAGTTACAGTTGACTTATCAAGTCTGTGGGGTTAATCCTTCTACATGTAGCAATTTCCACAGTTTTCATGGAATCAGTTGTGTATTGCTAAGGAGTGAGGTTCATTGTCAGTAGTGGCTTTGAAAGTAGATCTGCTGCTGTATCATCTACAGAATTTCAGAGGTTGCTCCGTATACTGTTATCAGTCGTCTGAGATCTTGAAATCTTTGAAAAAATTTCCATACTTTTTGCCCTATTTTATTTCTTGAATTCTATTTTTTTAAGGATATGGAAATTAAAACATAATATTTGAGACCACTTATGGTTTGGTATAACAAATGTGCACCAAAGTTGAGTGGTTTTAGAGACTAATACCTTAAGCCATATTACCATAATAAAATATCTTTATAATCAAGACACAGAGACCTCCAGTATGGGTAGCTTATATTTAAATTGGTCTTAAGTATCCTTCCAGATTACTCCTTCTTCTCTCCAGTTATTGTGTCTTTAGGTAACACCACATTTACTATTAATATAGTAGTTAGGAAAATTTTGCTGCAAAAAAGTCATAGGTTACATTTTTAAATTAAATATGAATGACATCTATGTGACTGCTTCTTGCTGTAAGTTATATTTGGGGAGAGGGCTATCTATAAGGGAATGGGGAGGGCAGAGAATATCAGAATATTTTGAGAGAGTGCCATTTCAGTTTACTCACATCTCTCTTATACTTCCCACTTGCTTGAGAATTCCTGCTGTGGTGAGCCACTTGGTGACGGCTGTGCTGGAGTCCCAGGTACTGATGGGGGATAGTAGTAGTAGTCCTGGTAGTAGTAGCAGTAGTAGGTGTGTTGGAGTAGAACAAAGTTTGAGAACCAATACTTTAGAACAACTCACCTCTCTGCCTTGAAATACAGTTTTCTGCCTGTTTACCTTTTTAAAAAAATAATAGCAAAACAATGCGTCTTCTATCACATCCTCTTTTCCCTCAGCAATTGCTGAATCAGTATCTCTTTTTAAAGTGATTTTACTATTCACAACCATCAGTGGAGAAACTTTTAACTTTGGTTTAGAGCCATGTTGATAATGAACTAATGATGTGCTATCCTTTTACTACTTTAAAGCTGTCCTATTTTTAAACAAGCAGTGAGGCTGTTTTGCAGCATTGAACTTGAAATTTAACATTGATCCAGTATGTATCTACCGAGCACTAATTATGTGCCAGATGCTGTATTGGGCAATCGGGATACAACAGAGAGCAAAAACAGATATAGTCGTTGCTGTTATGGAGCTTAGATCCTATTAGGGGAATTTGTTGGGATAATTATCACATAAATGTGAAATTCCAACTTTGATAAATGCTATGAAAGGTACATAAGAGTAGTGAGAGCCTATTGTAGGGTATCAAAGAAGGCTTCCTTGAGGAAGTGACTGTTGAGGTAAGACATAAAAGATGAGTAGGAATTAGTTAGGCCAAGAGAAATAGGACTGTCGTTCAACATTCCAGTAGAGAGAACAGGAAGTGGAAAGCACCTGTGGTGGGCAAGCACATAATGCATTCGAAGAATTGAAAAAGAGTTGGTAGGGCCGGCCCCATGGCTTAGCGGTTGGGTGCGCGCGCTCCGCTGCTGGCGGCCCGGGTTCGGATCCCGGGCGCGCACCGACGCACTGCTTCTCCGGCCATGCTGAGGCCACGTCCCACATACAGCAACTAGAAGGATGTGCAACTATGACGTACAACTATCTACTGGGGCTTTGGGGAAAAAAAAGGAGGAGGATCGGCAATAGATGTTAGCTCAGAGCCGGTCTTCCTCAGCAAAAAGAGGAGGATTAGCATGGATGTTAGCTCAGGACTGATCTTCATCACAAAAAAAACCAAAAAGAAAGAAAAAGAGTGGTATGTGTTATTAGAGCAGAGAGCAAAAGAAGTGAGATGCAAGATAAGTTTGAACAGCTAGGTAGGGACCGTATCTACATGATTTTATAGGTCATGCAGTCGATTTGGGGGCTTTATCATCACAATGGGAAATGTTTTAACTAGGTGGTAACCTCAGATACGAGGTTAGAATAGCTCACTTGGGCCATGGTAAAGAGAGAGTTTGGGAGAATGATAAGAATGAATGCAGGAAATCATTTAGGAGGTTCTTATTCTGATCCATGTGAGATGATGATAGTGCAGAGTAGGATAGTGGAGATGGAGGAAAGTGTTCAGAACAAGAGAGACTTGAGAGGTAACAATAAATAATATCTAGGGATGGATTGGAATGGAGGGATGAAGGAATTCAGGATGACTTCAGGATGTCAGTTGGCTAGATAGATGGATGTGAGATATTATTAGCAATAGCTGTATTGCTAACCTTATTGATCAGTTAGTATGGGCCAGGCTCTGTCCTAAGGTTTTACATATATTGATTCATCTACTTCTCACAGCAGTCCTGTGGGGTAGCTTTAGTATTGTTATTTCTATTTCACAGGGATTGATAAGTAAGGGGCCCAAGGCTACAGAACTAGAGAAACCAATCTCTCCAAAAACATGCATTTATGCCTGGGGACAGGAGGAGGAGGAGGTGGAGAGAAAAGTACGCAGAAAGAGTGAGTGTGATTAGATAGATAGCTGGAGGGGTAGTGTGAGGTGCAAAGGAGGTATTGTTTTCAAATGAAAAAATAACTTAGAACATGTTTATAAGGCAATGAGAAGCATCTAGTTGAGGGGAAGCTGAATTCTAGAGAAAGAGAGGGATAATTAGTATTTGTAAGGTTTCTGAATGAAGATGAGATCCAAAATACATGTAGAGAGAATGGCCTTATATTGAAAGGACAGCTATTATATTTAGAAGAAAGAAGAGGTGATGAGAGCAGAAAGTGGGAGGTTGAGGGAGTTTTTGTGGGATGGCTTCTTTATTCTCTATAAAATAGGAGCCCAGGACAACTGCTGAAAGTGGGTGAAAGTAAGAGCTCGAGGAGAGTGAAGAGATTTGAAAGACTTATGAAAGAGTGGGAGAGCCAGTTGGCCAGGGAAATAGAAGGACTGCCAGGCAATGTTGAGGACTTATTTGGAGTTAGTTATCATAAATTCATGGTACAACCAGTGTGCCCTGTTGTGTGGCTTCCTCCAGCAGTACTTGTTTAGTAACAGGCACAGTAATGAGAGTAATAATTGAGTTCGTCTTGTGCTGTAGCAAGGAGTTTGC